TAACAATGGCAGATTTCCTTCCCTAAAGGACATTAGTGAACCAGATGAGTTTTTCCTGACAATCGACAATGGGTTCACGGTCATCATTAGACTCTTAGTTCCAGATTTCTATTTATTGAATTCAAATTCCACTATCATTCCACATTCCACCATTGTGATGTATTTTAAAATATAGTTTAATATCATTTTATTTTATATTTGTCTTTTTAACAAATGGCATGTGGTTTTGATCTATGTGTATGTGGTGTTTAAAAATTAATTTGTTAGTATTACTGGAGCCATGATTTTTATGAAACTAGTCTAAAAGAGGGAGTCCCTGGGGTGATAACAGGATTTGTTTTCACTGGGAGAGTTCTATGAGTGGACAGAGTAAACATTGAGGAGAATTAGCTTGCTTTCTGTTGAGAAGGATCATGAATTGAGGAGGGGGGGGAAATCCATAGCTTGGAAAGCTTATGTTTGTCAGTTTGTAGATGTCCAGATTGAAATTAGATGTTTGAAACAGATTCTTATAAAGTCAAATGTTCATTCAGAAAAGTTATAAATTAGATTACCATAATATAAGGTCAGTGTTTGAATGCTCCAGACTAGAATCCTGAAAGGTTAGCTGAAGTTGAGAAAGTCTAAGTTCAGGTGCGCGTTTAATCAAGGAATAGGTTTCCAAACTGTCAAGAAAAGGATTGAAAAAGACAGTTAAGTTAAAATGATTTATGTGATAGAGAAATACGTTCTCTCTGGTGTTTCAGTACTGTAAATTGATAGTGTTGAGAATAGATGGGATTGTATTTGTAATGTTTATTTTGAATTGTGCTACAAATAAATAGCATGATTTGTGTGAGTTTGTGTTTCAGAGAAAGACCACCTTGTTAAATTAAAACAAAAACATTAAATACAATTTATCAAGCTGATTTCAGTCCTGGATTTGACTTCTGCAGTAATAACATCAGCTAGGATGGTAACACTCCTCAGTGAGAATGGAAAGTTTGGGAGGTTAGCTGTCATGCTGTTGGTCAGAACTGCACAGCAGCCATTGTTGCCTCAGAGATCATGATCCCAATGCTTAAGCTTGTGATCCTGTTTGGGGTTCTGATTTCCACTTTGGGAACTGCTAGTTTATAAACCCTCAGCTTAAACAGGAGATAAGGCTTACAAATGCAGATCATCGATATGTATATGACCCTGACGGCTTGTAGGAAAGTAAAATTAAATACAAAAGGAATCACAACCTCTAAATTCATTTTTAGGCTATTGCATTATTTCTGCTGTCAGAATTAATAATAAATCACTTACTCTTTGTCATTAGCAATTTGAAATGCTTTGTCGGTGAAATCAAGGTTAAAACACAAAGAGTAAAAGAGAACACTGGTGACAGCTACAAATGATACAGCTCTCCAATAGAAAACTATTCCTAATAGCTGAGTGTTCTTTCCCTGCTCTCTAAACATCCACATTCAGAATGTCAAGAATTTCTAAGGCTGAATACTAAAGGTTCCAAAAAAAAATCAATGAAGCCAAAAAATGTTTCCAGCTCAAACCTCTTATTATTTTGTTTTTACTGTGGAATTACTTGAGCTGGAATAAAATGGCATCAGCTGTAGCGACTGTTGCCAAGATATTTTTTCCAGTAAATTCTGTGAGATATAACAGTAAAGGTTACTAGTGCTTATCATCATTTAGGCACAAATCAGACAGCAACTTTAAACAAATGCAGATGTGCAGTTAAATGTGAAAATCCATAAGAAATTGTCTGAGATGTGCAATTCCTTTGTAAACTGTGCAAAACAGCATCTCACTGTCTGAATTCCTTAATCAAATGTTTCAGATGGCATGAATTTCCTGTTCTGATATCTTGGAAAAGGACAAACCTGCTGCAAAAATTTAGTGTTTGCTCATTTCAATTTCAGTAACTCTTTTAACAGTGTGATAAGTCTTATTTACTTCAAATCAATCGCCCTGCCACTAAAAATTAATATTTACAACTGTGGGGTCTCATTCTTTCAGATTTTAATTGCTTTGGAGGTTTAAAAAACGTTTTTCTTAATGTTTTCTTTCTGCCTCTTTCTTTCATTCACTTAATCCAAACTTTGGTTACCTCTCTTCATTTTGCATTCTGTACTTGATTTGCAATTAAGTTAACCATTCCATTGATATTTCTTGATTCCAATACTCCATGGTTCGTTCACAGTTTTCTGTATAATTGGTGAAGAAGGTACACAACTCATTGTCTTCTTCACATGCATGCCAAATACTCAAATCAGTACCATGTTGACTGTATTTCATGTTTACAGCAATCTCCTCCAGTACAAAAGATCATAAAAACTAAATGGCCATGTGGAAGGCACTATTCATTCATTGGCTATGGCTAATTCTAGCCCATTAAGTAGAGTACTTTATTACAGACAAGCAGTGCAGCAAAAGCTTAACGTTTGCAAACTAATCTGCTTTGTTTAGTTAAGTTAAGCCGTTAATTCCAAATGACTAAAATCGCAAACCAAGTATACATCAGAATGCCTTTGACAATATTTATCTTCAAGGAAAAAGGCATGAGTTTATTCGTTCAGAGCATTTTTGTATGTATCCTGGAATTTGTTTTAAAACAATGTTGCCATTTATAAATTAGCAATTTCTGACTGCAGATATTTATAGAGTCAATGAATTATACAGAACAGAAGAGGCCCTTTGGCCCATCAAATCTGCATAAACGACAACAAATCATTACCCGTCTACACTGATTCCACTTTCCAGGATTTGGACTTCTTATGACATTTCAAGTGCTCATCCAAGTACTTTTTAAAGGTTGTGAGGTTTCCTGCCTCAACTACCCTCCTAGGCAGAGCATTCCAGATCCTCACCAACCTCTGGGTGAAAATATTTTTCCTCAACTCCCCTCTAAACCTCCTGTCTTTCACTTTAAAATAATGTCCCCTCATTATTGATCCTTCACCTCAGTGAACCAGCTGTTTCCTATCCATTCTGTCCTTGACCCTCATCATTTCTTTATCTGCACACACAAAAACATAAATTGCTGGAGAAACTCAGCAGGTCCAGCAGCACATGTTGAGAGAAAGCAAAGTTAACAGAACTCTTCATAACCTCTGCAGATGGGTCACTGGACCCAAAACGCTGAGTTCTTCCAGCAATTTCTGTATTTGTGTCTGATTTCCAGCATCTGCAGTTCTTTGGTTTTTCATTTAATCTGCACATTTCTGGAGAGATGATTAAAGACACATTGACTCCTAGATATTTGTTGAGTTTAGATTATCTCAATTGCCACTGCAGCTTCTGGACAAGTGACTTGATTAATAGGTTTGGCTGGCTACGGTCACCAGCTGGTTTGTTTCTGCCAAGGTTTAAGAGGAGTGGATAGACCAACTCACAGATTTCTCTAAGTGTCCTGCTTTCCCCTCTGCCACAGGAAGGGGCAGGCAGCCAGTGACATCCCTATTCAACTTTGCTCAATCAAGCAACAGGATAAGATCCAGCACCAATACTTCACCAATACGACATTTTCTTTCCCCCGGGAGAGGGGAGTCATCTGCGGTTAATTGCAGTCACCAGCTGATTTCTCCTTTAGCTGAGGACCTTTACTCTAGTATGCTGGTGGGAAGGGAGGGTAAGATGGAGTACCCCCACTCTAGCCGGCACGCTGCTTCCCTGCCACAGCCCAGACTTGTCAGCATTCTGCGGAGACAGCCAGCTTGCTAAGTCCATTGAAAGGACGATTAAGGCCAAGGAGTAGAGGCAAGCTGGAACTTTCGAGTCGGTCTGTGGCCACCCTCACCCAGTGCCTCAGGAGCAACCTGGAGGCAGTCCCCTATGAGAGACAACGGGCACTGAGGCCATTCCTACCTGGTTACAGCTTTGGCAGCAGACTGTCCCATTGAGGAGCTTCCCCTCCACAACCAAACTTTAATTTTAAATACACTAAAGGTGCTAGGAGCTCTTGTGGTGCAGTGTTAGTACCACTGCCTCAGAGCCAGGAGACCTGTTCAAATCCCATCTGCTCCAGAGGTGTGTCATAACATCTCTGAACAGGTTAATTGGAAAATATCTACATTAAGGTGACTGAGAGGGGTGCATCAGGATGGAAGTATTCTTTCTGCTTCTTACCTGCAGCTTGTATTGGCTATCCAATTGTGAAAGCCTGCATGCCACTCTTAATTGGATGGTGAGGAACTTTCCAAGAGCAAATTGGCCAATCATAGCTCCCAAAACAATACACATTCAGGATCTACATTTGATCTAGACATCAAATTTCCAACCCAGAATGAAAAGGCCTACCCAATGATTCCCCCATTGCCAAGATTCCTCAGCGTTGTTACCCAGTGCTGTTCTGCAGTTGCTTATTAGAATGCAAAATACTATGGAGCTGGAGGATGAAACTCAGTCAGTTCTTCCCTCTTGTCAGACATGCTGTGTTGAAACAAAGGACTGAATTCAATGCTGCCCCACCTCCACCCCCCACCGCGCCCCCCCACCCCCCCCGCCCCCAATCCTCCCCTCACTACCAGAAACATTCAAGTATCACCTATCAGGGGGTGTTGCAAAACCCAAAATCACTGGAGGTTGGTTTCAAAGTCCGATGTGAGCTCCCTTACTAATTTGTCCATCCATGAGAGTGACCACCCTCCCAACTTGTAACATAGAACATAGAAGCTAGGAGTAGGCCATTCGATCCTTTGAGCCTGCTTTACCATTCAATATGACCATGGTTGATCCTCGATCTGAATACCATACTCTCATTTTCTTCCCATAAACCTTGAACAGCTCTAGTTTTCTGCTTGTACAATATTTTGACATTTTGAAAGGAAAAAAAACTAAAAAATATATGTTTTAAAAAGATAGGTTTTGGTGTGATGCGCTGTGTTTAAGCAAGGAGAGGTAAACACACCTGCTTTCTGCTTTGTTGTCCCACGTTCTGGATTGCCCAAATCACTCTGCTTATTGGGTAGCCCTGTCTCATCAGTGGCTGGATGAGGTCCTGCTCTTTTTGACTCAGTGCCAGTAGTAGGTCAGCAGTAGAGTCTGGGAGAGTTTTGTGGGAATATAAAGGTCTTGGAGTTGACGGAGGCGCCGGAAGGCAGGAATGCTTACTGAGGGTCTGTGAAAGAACAAATAAACATTCAGAATACAAGTTATCTATCAGTGCATTTCATACAGAGAACCTTGAGATCGACAAAAGAGTTTTGTTTGTTTTCATCCAGGAAAGGATTTGTTCTTTATTTAAATCTTCCATGGTTTCACATTTCTCTGTTTCGAGGGTCCCTATCTAATATCTCATCACAGAGCAGTAGAATCACTCCTCACTGTCAGCAAATGCTTAGAAATGTGAAGATTTTGAAAAGAGGAGTCGACTAAAGGAATTGCAAATTGATCCAGCATTGTGGCTGAGCTTGCGGTGTTTTACAGTTTGGAAACATAATTCCGGTTTCTTGGTGTAGTCTGCAGAGAAAACTCCAACTGAGACTAAGCGCTTGGAGATTATTCAATATTCAATTTGTAAGCCACTTCTCTAGTTTTTGCATTGGCACAATTGCTTAAAACGACACAGCATATTGTTAATATTTGATTTTTAAAAAATGGATTGTAATTAAATAAAACAAAAAGAGTACACCAAGGAAACTTGTCTCATCCTCTCTTCTGCGTTATCTGATGTATGATTACCATTGGACAAGGAGGACATTGAATCCCTACAGTGTGGAAGCAGGCCATTTGGCCCATCAAGTTCATACCATCCTCCAAAGAGCATACATACTCTATCCCTATAACCTTGCATTTCCCATGGCTAATCCACCTAGCCTACACGTCTCTGGACTGTGGGAGAAAACCAGAGCACCAAGACGAAACCCACACAGACACAGGGAGAATGTGCAAACTCAACACAATTGCCTGAGGGTGGAATCAAACCTGGGTCCCTGGTGCTGTGAGGCAGCAGTACTAATCACTGAGCCAAAGCATGAATGCTTTTACTCAGCTTCACAAATGTGCATTGTAACTGAATGTCATCTCCTGTGCAAGCAGGATTTTCAACTAAAAGTAGTGAATGCTGGAAATATCCAGCATCTTTGGAGAGGAAGACAGAGCAATTGTTTCAGATCAATGTCCTCCCGTCAGAACGTTTTTGAAGATGGCGCAGCAACTTTTTATAATTTGGTCCTTCTGATCAATCTATGGTCCTGATCATGTGGCATATTCTGCATGTAAAAAGTGAAGTTAGCTTTCTGACTACTTCCTACAGCTTGTAGATTAAATCAACGCCAAACAGCTATGCCTAATGCATACATTGGTTAAAAATAATTGGGCCGATTATTAAGGGATGCCCACCTCTGTTTTTCACCATTGTGATGAAAGTGTGAGATTTGTGTTTATGCATTTTAATATCATTTACTACATGTTTGGGTTTTCTGTATGTTTAGAATTAACAATTAACTTTTAAAATTTAAATATCTATGAGAGGAAGTTACGCAGAGGTCCTTAGGGGAACTACCCAGAGGGTCTGGGGGAGAACTTTCCCTCTGAAAGTTCTGAATGTCATTTTCAGTCTGTGACTGTAAGTCATTCAAGAGAGAAGCATGCATCAAGCTCTGAAGTGCTGAGAAGTTTTTTGATGGAATAAAAGAACTTTAAAGTAATAAAATTATCTTTGAGTAAGAAGTTATTATTAATTCTCGGCAAGTGCATTAGAATACAGTCAGTGGAAAAGAACTGAAGATAAGATTTTTAAGTTTAAAAAAGACAAAAAGAAATTGAAGCAATATAAGGGATAGAATAGCACCAGACGGAACCTAAATCAGGTGCCTAACAGTAATCACAATAATAATAATTAAGAAAGAGTCACCTTCAGTTCCAGCAGATGAGTTCAATTTGATTACTTCAAATTCATCGAAGTAGTAAGAAAGAGAGCATCCCTTCCTTGGAAAATTAGCTGGACTCGGTCTTGCTACAGGTACAACACTTGATATTCTAAGAATTGCAATAACTTGACAACGTTCAGAAATGATTTACAAGGATGTTGCCAGGACTGAAGAGTTTCAACTGTAGGGAGAGGCTGAATACACGGGGGCTATTTTCCCAAGAGCGTCAGAGGCTGAGGGGTGACCTTATGGAGGTTTATAAAATCATGAGGGGCATGGATAAGTTGAACAGACAAGGTCTTTTCCCCAGGATGGGGGAGTCCAAAACTAGAAGGCATAGGTTTAAGGTGAGAGGGGAAAGATTTGAAGAGGATCTAAGGGGTAACGTTTTCGCACAGAGGGTGGTGTGTGAATGAAATGAACTACCAGACGAAGTGGTGGAGGCTGATACAATCACAACATTTAAAAGGCATCTGTATGGGTATATGAATAGGAAGGGTTTAGAGGGATGTGGGACAAATGCTGGCAAATCGGACTAGATTTATTTAGGATATCTGGTCGGCACGGACGAGTTGGACCGAACGGTCTGTTTCCGTGCTGTACAGCTCTATGACTCTAATATTTGTAAGCTGTATCAGGGTATACAGATTCCAATACAAAGCTATTGTTTCTGTTTGTATCGATGAAGTGTGATTGGGTTAATTCTACTGCTTGTTTAAAAATCTTTTGAATCAATATTATAAAGGAATACAGTTTTCCCCTGTTTATCTTAATTTCTCTAGTTAATAAACTTTTGTTTTATTGTTAAAACAAAGACTACATCATTGTGTGCTTATGCTTTTATAAAAGATTGCTTTGGTAATAATAGATAATAGGTAATAATAGGTAATAATAATAATAATAATAATTTATGATCTATTCAGCCCAGCTCCTGTTGCTGATCTGATTGTCCAGTACTAATATCAATTAGGCATTACCCATACAATTCGGACCACTAGATCATAATACCATAAGTCATGTTAAAAATAACAAATAGCAAGAGCTGTTTGAATTATAGCTTAATGGTTCATTTAACATCACAAGGTTTGAAAGCAAATTATTCTCAGTTTTTATGTATTTTTATTTAATTATGCATTTAACGCAAACCTTAATTTGAATTATACGATGATTATCACTAAGTGTTGACATCACATACATGCTATCACTCAATAATTTGGCCTCTTTTAACCCAGTGGGGTCAGATTATTGTATAATGATTTATATGTAGTTGGGGATTTATGTAAGTCAATCACAAATTGATTGTTCCCTTTCTTCTCTGCTTCTCTGTCAAGATGGACCAATTTCAACTTCATGCTTTTCAGTCGAACTAAACATACACCAAGGCTCACTTTCCATCATTGACATTCATACCTTGCAGTTTCAAATTGCTTCTTCAAGGTCAGCAGTTTTGAGAGACAGCTGGAAACATGTTAATAAAGATCCTTTCCAATACTGAATCAGCAGAGTCTGTCGTGATGAGTTGCAGAAAAATGGTGCTGTGCTTGTGGGTTAATTGTGAACTTCGATGCTCAGCCCATCCAGAACACAATCAAACAATAGTAGTAATTAATGAAGTTTCTCTTTAGTATTGCTGTAAAAGGACACATTTTGTTGAAGCTTTTCAATTTGCCCTCATCAGGACATTTGCAAGAATACCAGTGAAAAGGAGAGTAATATTTAATACTATATGAGAAGAGTGTGCTAATTAGTTGGCACGTTGGCTCTAGAAGCATTAACATGGAGAATATGCCAGTTAGATGATGACTGGGAGTTAATGGCAAAGCCTTGTTTAAATTTAAACCCAGGATTGACTCTGATTGGGTGGACTTTGCTCTAAGGAATGAAACAAAGAACGATTGTCACCTACTTTTGATGTGGAGGTGCCGGTGTTGGACTGGGGTGAACAAGGTCAGAAGTCAGATGACACCAGGTTATAGTCCAACAGGTTTATTTGAAATCACAAGCTTTCGGAGCACTGCCTCGAAACTATAACCTGGTGTCATCTGACTTCTGACCTTGTCACTTATTTTGTTTGGTTGCAACTGGAGCAATATGTGAGATCAAATTTTTGTCTGCAAAAAAATTCCCAGGACCCTGTATATAATACATGTAGCGTCTAGTACGTGCAAGTGTGTCTTTTCAGTACTTTATGATTTTTTTTCCCAGCAGTACTCAATATTCTGTAATACCAAATGACTATTTGAAGCTTCTCTTGTTGCTGACGCATTTTCTCCACTGGGTCTGCCTATAACAAGCAGTTTCCAAAGCTGCTCTGCACTGTCCATCAGGAGGCAGGTCAAAGCATCCCAGAATAACTAACCTCTTGTTTACTTCCACTTCCTGCAGGGAAGTATTTAGTCTGGTCTGGTTCTTTCAAGGCTGACGTTGTCATCTCCAACTTTGAAGTGCAATGGGTCTATAACTCTATTTGGCAATAATAATGTAAAACATTTTGTTAAAAATTCTTGTGGGGCTGAGTTAATTTAGTAGCCTCTTGAGGAGATACAATTTATACTTGACTGTACCCTGGCCAACTCTTTTGAATGTATAATTATTTATTTGGCTTTCATCCCAATTGGAAAGACATGAATGTACAAGTTACTCTGGTGTAAAGGTGATGTGATTGAAAATGGATAATAGCAGCTTATAAACTACAAGTAGACTCAAGAGACTTTTTCTGGATTGTGTAGATGATGCAGAAGAATGAAGCACTGAGACGTCAAGGTTCTCAACACAACATGAAACATTGGTATTCATAGTCAGAACTAGACAATGGTAAGAAAGGATGTGATTAACATGTTGAGATGTAAAATAACAATCTGGATCTTTTTATTAACTGACTTGACTTTTACTAATCATGTAGGAAGGATGTGATTGATCCTGTTAACTGAATTTGTATTATGTTGATTGAACCATTATCTTGGTGTCTGGGCGATTGCCTTGCTCAACATTTTAGTGTCCTTTTCAACAAAATGCCATTTGTAAATTCAAATTATACAGTGGTTACAGCACAGGAGGAGGACATTCAGCCCCAAACTATTGCTGGCTCTTTTGCAAGAGAAATTTAGCTCATCCCACTCCTGGTCCATTCCCCGCAGGCATGCAATTTTTCTCCCCTTTAGCTCCTCATCCAATTCCTTTTTGAAAGGTGCAACTGAATCCATCTCCTTTTCAGACTGTGTATTCCAGATTATACCATTTGCTGTGTAAAAGCATTTTCCGTCATGTTTCCTGTTCACACCCTCCAATGGATGTCCTATAATTTTTGACCCTTCCTTCTCTGCATTCTAACTAAATCCTCCTGATTATGAATATCTTCAATCCAATCTTCTGTGAACATTCTTTTTTCTCAAGTGAACAACTTGAGATTCTCTAATCTATTGATATAACTGAAGTCCCTCTTTCCTGGAACCATCCTGTAAATTTTTTTTGCACCCTCTTTAAAGTCATCGCATCCTTCTTAAAATGCACTGTCCAGAATTGGACACTATATTTCAGTTGAAAGCAAACCAGTGATTTATGAAGGTTTACCATGGAACAAACAGGTAGGGAATGATGCTTCCAGTTACACTGCAGAAAAGCATACAAGCTTTACAAAGAGAGGTAGCATTTTTTTTATTTTTTGTTTAGAAAGATCACAGCATATTGGTTTTAAAAATTAATCCAGTTAGCCCAGTATTGTAGCATTAATCACAGAGAAGAAAAGTAGGACAATGCTTCATTCTTCCCCCTATTTCTATCCTACATCTTGCATCAAGAGAGACACCAGTCAAAGATACTTCCTGCAGCTGGGCAGAGGGATGAAAACCAGACAACAAGCCCAAATTGCTCCTGACATTGAGCTTTGAGACAAATTTCCATCTACGCCGGAGTACCACAAGAGTTCATTCAATGTGATTGTTACCCCTCAACCAGGCTTAATTACCAGATATATCCTGATAAATTTACGGATACATTACTTGAGATAATTAACTTTAAATATATTTTTTAATTCGTATGTGTCTTTTTTCCACTTGGCATAGAAAGGAATTCTGTTCCTAGGGGTGAGCTTACTCGATCATGATAAGTAAACGGATATCAATTTCTACAGAAGCACTGATGAGGTCTGGGGAATAATTGGTTCAGGACCAAATGATCCCTGAAATGCAATTTCATCAATGAGTTAGCAATTAGATTTGCACTGGTCCCCTTATCAAAAGAGAAATTGCATTCCTATCATCACAATCATTGGGCATTCTCAAACATGCCATATTTTGCGACCAGGAAGAACATGTTTGTGACTGAGAAGTATTTTCTTATTCCTTTCTGGGAATTTGGACATCCATCCCTAATTGCTCTTGAACTGAGTGGCTTTCAAGGCCATTTCAGAAGCCAGTGAAGAATCAATCACGTTAGTGTGAGCCTGGAGTCACATATAGTTCACACCAGATAAGGATTGCAGATTTCCTTCTCTGAAGAACATTGGTGAAGTAACTAATTTACTATACTATATCTGAACTTGCACTGAAGAATGATTTCAAGCTGGATAACGCCACACTGCAGTTACTAAAAGATGCCACTAGTTCTTACCAGAAGTGGTGATTTGTGTTTTCTGAGTGGAATTCTTGCCCTGAACGTAAATGATCTTTCCAGGTGACATCGCATAGAGGATAACGGTGGACTTCCAATCATAATTTGCTCTGAGTTCATATTCTTGCCATTTCTGTTGTTTTGGTGCTGACAGAGAGATTTTCTACAAAATTTTCTTGGTGTATGTCCCTGTGACCAGTTTGACCTATGCCTCCAAACATCTTCCTCATTATCAATATTGTTGCAAAGAGGTGACGGCCTATGGTCAGAGATATGAGGGAGTCGGGTTAAACTAGCACTAAGACATCTCTCACAGTGCTGGCCTCTGGAAGGGCTATCCGAACTGAAAGGGGACGAGGCTGGTCTCCCATCTAGCAATCTGGAATGAAGATTAAATTTGTTCCTGAAATGCGGCGCTGAAGGAAGCTTCTGCTTTTCATTTTCATCAGACGATGACAGTTCATCATCCTCTGAGTATCCATCATCACTTTCTGAGTCTGATTGTACAGGTGTAGCGCGAACATATTTAATGTCTGTCACACTGAAACTCCTGAACCTCTTGGTCTGTAAAACCATATGGTCGTTTTGAACTTTAGTGCGCTGGGAATTATTATTTGTGTCATCTTCCCCAAGATCAGAAAAAGCAAGCCAAAATGGTGGACATGTTGGTGTAAGCCTTGGAGGTTCTCTGAGGGAACAGTCTTGCAGCCATTCCAGAATCTTCTTTTCCAGAGTGAAATCATACTGCAAAAAATAGCAAATTAAATTAGTCAAAAACAAGGTAGAGGCTGTGCTAAAGACATAAGGGTTGGATTTCCACAAGGATCTTATGATCTGCTAAATCCTTCTTCTCTGGGACCTGTGTGAATCTGCCGCTAACGTTCCAATGGACATAGGACAGAACTCTGCAGAAATTAATAGCAATATTTCAGAATTGTTATTTCATTCATGTTCTTACATAGCAAACATACAGTGGGAGTAGCTTTGAAATGATGACCGTTACAATAAAATGAGAATGTCTATGTTAATGATTTGATAGTGTATAAGATGATGTGACTCTGATTCAGCAGTCACATGCTGCCAAGACTGCGAGAGGAGATGGAGTAATTTTTACTAACCAGCTCTACAGCAGCGATCAGTGTTATGTAACTTAGTGGGTAAACAGAAGAGTTTGTTGGAATTCCTAGGACTCACTGACAATAGTCACCCGTGGGTAATGGAAAGAGATAAATATACAAATGAAGATTAGAGGGAGTCTAAGGGAGCAATTTCTTGGTAGAGTAGGAAAGAAAGAACCCCAAGTCTGAAAGCTAAAGCATAAAACTATAAAACATAGAAGCAGAAGTAGGCCATTTGGTCCATCAAGTCTGCTCTGCATTCAATAAGATCATAGAGTCCTACAGCATGGAAACAAGCCCTTCGGTCCACCCAGTCCACACCAAACATCATGTCAAACTAAACTAGTCCCACCTGCCTGCTCCTGGCCCATATCCTTCCAAACCTTTCCTATTCATGTATTTATCCAAATGTCTTTTAAACATTGTAACTGTACCCACATCCACTACTGCCTCAGGAAGTTCATCCCACATGCATACCACCCTCTGTGTAAAACATTTGCCCCTCGTGCCTTTTTTAAAATCTCTCTCCTCTCACCTTTAAAATATGCCTCCTAGTCCCCAACCTAGGGAAAAGACAACTACTCTGTCTACAATTCACTCTGTCTATACTTCTCATTATTTTACAAACTTTTATCAGGTCACCTTTCAACTTCCTACGTTCCAGTGAGAAAAATCCCAGCCTGTCCAGCTTTTTTTTATAACTCAAACCTTCTGTTCCCAGCAATATCCTGGTAAATCTCTAATGAACCCTCTCCAGATTGATAATATCCTTCCTATAACTGGGTGACCAGAACTGGACACAGTATTCCAGAAGAGGCCTCACCAATTTCTTGTACAACCTCAACATGATTTCCCAACTCTTATACTCAAAGGACTGAGCAATGAATGCAAGCGTGCTAAACACCTTTTTAACCATCCTTTCTATATGTAATGCAAGCTTCAAAGAATTATGTACCTGAACCCCGAGGTCCCTCTGTTCGACAACACTACCCAAGGCCCTATCATTAATTGTATAAGCCCTTCTCTTGTTTTTGTACCAAAATGCAATACCTCGCATTTATCCAGATTGAACTTCTTCTGCCATTTAAAAGCCTATTGACCCATTTGATCCAGATCCCTTTGAAATCTTAGAAAACCTTCTTCACTGTCTACTATGCCACCAATTTTGGGGTCATCCGCAAACTTACTAACCATGCCTTCTATATTGTCATCCAAATCATTTATATAAATGACAAACAAAAGAGGACCCAGAACTGATCCCTGTGGAACATCGCTGGTCACAGGCCTCTAGTCTGAAAAGCAACTCTCCATTATTACTCTCTGTCTCCTGCCATTAAACCAATTAAGTATCCAATTGGCAAGTACACCCTGAATCCCACGTGACCTAACTTTATTAATTAGTATACCATGCGAAACCTTGTCAAAGACTTTACTGAAATCCATGTAAACAATGTCTACTGCTCTGCCATCATCAATCTTTTTGGTAACTTCCTCAGAAAACTCAATCAAGTTTGTGAGACATGATTTTCCTGCTAACTACCCCTAATCAACTTTTGCCTCTGTAAATGCCCATTAATCATATCTTTTATAATCACTTCCAACAATTTAATCACAACCGAAGTCAGACTCACAGGTCTATAGTTCCCCGGTTTCTGCTTACAAGCTTTCTTAAACAAAGGTACAACATTAGCCACTCTCCAGTTATCAGGCACCTCACCCTTAATTATAGATGATTAAAATATTTCTGCAGGGGGTCTTGCAATTTCCTCCCTTACTTCCCACAATGTGCTGGGATACATTAGATCAGGTGCCAGAGATTTATCCACCTTTACATTCTCTAAGACCTCCTGAACTCCTCTTCTGTAATCTGAACTGTTTTTAAAACATTAAAATTTATTTTTCTGCATTTTCTAGCCTCCATTTCTTTCTCCTCAGTAAATCTGACACGAAATATTCAATTAGTATCTTTCCCGTCTCCTGGGGTTCAAGACAAAGATGACCTTCTTGATCTTTAAGAGGCCCCATCCTCTCTCTAATTACCCTCTTGCTCCTAATATATTTGTAGAATCTCTTTGGATTATCCTTAACCTTACCTGCCATTGCTGTCTCATATCTCTTCTTTGCCTTCCTCATTTCTTTCTAAGGACGCCCCTACACTCTTTATATCGATTAAGAGATTCAATTGAAGCAAGTTGTCTACATCTAAGACAAGATTCTCTTTTATTCTTGATTAGAACCTCAATATCTTTATTCATCCATTGTTCCTTAATCTTACCAGCCGTACCCTTCACTTTAACAGGAACATAATGCCCCTTAACTCTTGTCATCCCACTTTTGAAAGCCTCCCACTTTTCATGGCTGATCTGAAAATCCTGAGCTCCACTTGCCTGTCTTTCCCCATAATCCTTGATCCCCTTACTGATTAAAAATGTATTTGTCTCAGATTCCACAGATTGAAGAAATTTCACCTCGTCTCTTTCCTCATTGGGTAACACTTTACTCTAAAGTTATGTCCTTTGGTCCTGGACTTCCCCACAAAGGGAAACAATGTCTCAGCTACTACCGTGTCAAGCCTCCTAAGAATCTTACATGTTTTAACAAGGTGCCTCTCATTTCCAAATGCTCCCAATGTATAAGGGTTATATGACAGCAAGACTATAATGCTACAATGTGGGATTCTAAAATGCAGCTGTTTTATTCAAAAAAAGGAAATTTTCTGTGCTCTTTTCGGCTGTGGCTTAAGGTTTACTATTCTGTGAAATTTTCTTTTTGTGCAGGAATGGCACTGATAGTTGCACTCATGGCCTTGTACCTTCTATAGACCAATTCAGAACTGACTAGTCATCGCACAGATCAGCTCACAAAGCAAATGCTCACTGTGTTTAACCAGCATCTTTTGTGTAGTCATACTTTTTTCCCCCCTAGGGTCTTAGTGTAAATGTAACTTCTGCACTGTTTCAAATCTTGGCTGTGGGTTTTAGGTTTGCATCACAGCCTTCACTTTAAGGAAAAATCACCGTTGATCACCACGTCATATTCTTGTCTTGTATCCCTTAAAAGTACAGAAATAGTACTCTCATACCAGATTGGTAAGGAGTATAGGTTCTGCTTTAAAATATCCTAAACACGTTTACTTAACAGACAAACTGATAACTTGCAATTACAGAACAACTCAAGAACACATCCTTGGTCCATCAGTGTGCTTAGATTTGTCCTGGCTGCTGGTGCTGTGGTGTCATCAGCATAGTCAGCTCATAAAGTACTAGCCTACATATACATCAAATTTTCTGCATCCAGCTTGAAAACTTTAATGTTTGATTTGTGCTCTATGAAGATCCATATTTTACATCCTAACACCTGGAGCTGAGAAGAACAAAAGAGAAAGTCTGATATTGACTAAGTGTCTGACATTTACAACTGTCCTTTGATAGGCATTAGCAATGCACATTGGCCAGGATTTCACATTAATGATGGAAAGGCTAACAGCATTCACTGTTACACTGCAGTAAAACAGACAAGATTTCCAGAGGCCATGTATACACAAAATCCAAAAATTGTGGTTCATATTACAATATTCCTCACTTGGCTATTATCACAGACTATGCTGCTGGACTCAGCAGTGAAAAATAAGCAATGACCTGAACTTAAAGCACAATTAGTTACTGACTTAACACACTACAAAGGTTAGGCCCTATGAATTCAGAAGAGACGCTCTAATGGTGAGATTTGTGATTATTACTATGAAACAAACAAATTTAACCCGAAAATTTAAGTTAACAAGTGTGGAGCTCCATTCCTTAAATTAATTTCTGCTTGAGATGTAACAATAAAAATAAAATATTTTCTTTCACCTTTTCTGACTGCATCTTTCTCTTACTCCCACCCACTTTTTAAATTAAATTACTAAAAAAAAATGAATTTATGCTATGCTTTCCCCATATGGATATTCAGTGTCTCAATGAAGATCCTTCAATCTGAGATGTTGAGGGCCTTTCCTGTTTCTTTCCTGCCGAGAGACATCATTGATTCCCTGTAGATAATACAATACTAAATCAGATGCCACATTAGATCAAATTCTACTCAAATGTCTGTGAAACTTCATAGGAAGTTGTTGGTGAGATGAACGGCACTGCTTCTTCATCAGTAACTACAAATTACAAGCGATTTCATATTGATTATTGTAGGAGAGGATCCATTGGAAACACTTTCAGACTTCATAGTAACAAAAAACCTGGAAGATGGTGGAGCATATACTCTTGTTATTAAAAGTTGCACAACCTGAGAAAGGGAGGAAGATGGGTAAAATTGAAGAAAAATTCAGGGAAATCTGTTAAAAATAAGCTTCAAAAAACTCTTCTTAAAGAATTCAAATTGGCATCCACCTTATGAGACAGCAAGTTTAAAATATTCTTTCCCATGATGAAAAATGAAATTAAAAACTAAACCATGATCAATTGCGAAAAACATGAAAGTGAAAATTCTGAAGTGAAAACATTTCCAAATCAGGAGTCGATTTACCTCTTAAGTATGCACACAATAAATTTGAATGGAAGCAAGACCAAATAATGGTCACAGCTGCCACCAGATGGAAGGATCACTTCAAACAGCAAATGTTGGCGATTCATC